ATCTATATTATTATAGTATTAGATAGTCTATATTATTACCCCATAAATACTTAAGTATAATCGTAAAATAAAAAAGCAATGCGAGAAAATTGATTAAACAAATGCTTCTTATTATGAATTTCATGCCAAAATATTATCGATATGTATGAACTATTGATAACTTTGTGATATACATATAAATAAATTTGCAATTCCACAACTCACTATATGATTAGCAGCTTGTTTTCTAGAATTTGTTGTTTTGTTCATATATGCTCGTTTATAGACAAATCCATTCTAATGATCTTTTTCAAGACTAGCCATATCATAAAATGGAATAATATACTATAGAAAACATAATAGTGTAAAAAAATGTTCTCCAATATCTTATTGATATTGCGTTTGCCATATATTGATACATTTCAGATAAAAAGCCTATACAGTCCAAAGTTAGTGTTAATATTATTGTTCTCTCACAGCCGCACACTTTACATATTCATGTTATAAATACCTTTCTAATGTTGGATTTTAATATAAAGCGCATCATTGCATGCTAGATCACTAACGATAATCAGATCTTGACAATTGTTTTTAAATTTCAAACTTAGATCATCTTCAAGATACAAATAAACTTGTTCAGAAATCTGAAAGTAATTTCTTTAGGAAGTTCCATTTTTTGATATAGTTCATTGTATATAATCAGCTTTATGTGGCATTTTTCATTTATAATTTGCTGAGATGAAAACTAAATTATGAAGCGAAATCAATACATACTTGGTCCAGTTGAATTATGTTCTGGAACGATGAAATATATTTTTTTTCTTGGTCGATCTTATTTTATTAATTTTTCTTTTGTTGCTTTGTTTACAAAACCTTCTGGAATAACTGTTTAATTCTTTTCTACTTATCATAAACTTAATACATAGAAAGGATCAAATCATTCAGCTTAAATTAAATCCGCGATTTATTCATAATAGTACAGGTCTATTTATAACTTTACTGAAATATCGAATCACCAATTAGTAAGATACAATATATGATCTTATGTCTTCATATAGTTTTACTTTTTCTCTTCTTTTGTCATGCATAAATGACATAAATACGGTTTCTTTTGTTTCTGCTTTCATGGTTGTTACAATATCACCGACATATATCCTTTTTGTGTACTCAAAAAGTGAGTACACTACTAGAATCGGTCAGTGTGTCCGTCCGGCCGTCCGGCCGTTTACACGATAACTCTCGAAAGGAGAATCAGACTGAGCTGAAATTTTCTACACAGTTTAGTCTCGTTGATATCTCGGTCGAGTTCGAAGATGAGCCCAATCGGTTATGCCATTGCTGAGTTATAAAAAAAATTCTCATTATTGATCAGACAATCCGTGAGGAGGGGTATAGGGATTTTTTTTCAAAACAAAATATTGTTCTCAAAACTATTCACACCATATATAAATCGACTCAGTTTTTAGCGCTGATTCCGAATCTGATATTAGTTTTGAACCAAATCGTAGCTTTCTAACAAAATATCGCCTGAAAAAGGTCTCAAAATGCACAAAAATTGTATCCAAAAATCAAATTGCCTAGATATGTCTCCGATGTCTAGTAGTATTGGGGTTTTCCAAATACCTGGTTTTGTAGCTAGTCAAAAGGACTATCGAAAGGTAAAAACCCGAACTCGATAGCTATTAATATTGGTGAGTTATTATGAAAATACTGATGTCTGTATCTATCATATATCTCTTACAAATTCATGAGGTTGCTTATGATCGTAAACCCCCCAGATACAAACACAAATTCAGTTATAAACTGCTCCTCTTACCTAGTGTTTTTAGAGTAGATAGAATTTGTCAAGAGCTCTGAATAACGATAGGGGGTAAATATGGTGCGTTTGAGGTTTCCTTAACATTACACTGTCCGAAAACGATGAAAAAACTCACATATACTGACACTGCCGTTAGAACTTTTTATTGTTGACTAAGAATCAAAAAAACAAGGTCAATGTCTATTCCCGCTTTGTATATTCTTTTTTGGGAAAAATAATATAACACCATTCTTGTACGAAACTATTCTATCAGAGTCGAATGAAATGCGTGTGTCATACACCATTCAATAGAGAATTTCATGGGCTATAAAATGGTACTAAATGATAGGGGTAAATGGGTTGCACACAGAGTTGCCCTGTATGACAGGGTCGGTAAACTAGAAAAATCATATATGTTGACAAAGTATCAGGGCGATATTTGTTTGTTTTTCATATTACCAATAACAGTTTTTTTTAGAATAGATAGAACTCTTGCAGAGCTATAACTTGATGTAAAATAATAGGGAGTGGATATGCTGCGTTCGAAATATCTTCAGTATCACACTTGTGAAAAACCATCAAAAAACCATATACCTTGATAGTGTGTCTGTGTGATATTCGATTGTTCTCCGTAGAGTCAACGTTATTTTTGTGTACGCGGAAAGTGAAGTTCACGATAGATTGATTTTGATCAATCTGTCTAGAAAAATTCATCGTTGAGCGCACTAAGCAACTACCCTTTAGTCCCTGCGGGTACCCTCTTTTTAGTGTACTCAAAAAGTGAGTACATTACTAGAATTGATCAGTGTGTTCAGCCAGCCGTTTACACGATACCTTACGGAAGGAGAGTCAGATATCGATGAAATTTTCTACACAGTTTAGACTCATAAAGATCTCGGTCGAGTTCGAAGTTGAGCCTAATTGTATGGAGCATTTCCGAGTTATTACAAAAATACTAATATTTCCCTATGATTTCCATATACACTTTTTGCAGTACACATAACTCTCGGATACAATCCGAAGTTTCCACATTTATTTTTTCTTTCTCTTGTATCATATAGATGACACATACAACATACATATATATGGGTAGTTCCACCAGGAATCTCCCACATTTACAGTGACCTTCTCCGATCAAGCTGAAACTTTCAGCGATTGAAGCCCTTAGTGCCCTAACTATATGGTAAAAATATTAGCCTCCTAGCTCTTCGGCATCCTACTTTTTTTTGCACCACAAAATTCAATTTTTTAGGACCTTGATGATTTTTTTTCATTTTTGTGTACTCAAAAAGTGAGTACACTTCTAGAATCGGTCAGTGTGGCCGGCCGGCCGTCCGTTTATTCGATAACGTTTGAAAGAATAGTCCGATTGAGCTGAAATTTTGTGCACAGTTTAGTCTTATCTAGATCTCGGTCGAGTTCGAAGATGAGCCTAATTGGCTGGGCCATTCCCGAGTTATTGCAAAAATACTGATATTTCCCTATGATTTTTTTATATTTTTTTTTTTGGAAAAAATAATTTAGTGCTGTTTACGAATGAAACCCCATGTATTATATACCATTCAGTAGAGAATTTCATGGGCTAAAACATGGTACTAAATTATAGGAATAAATGGATTGCTCTCAAGGTTGCCCCTATATGACAAGATAGGTAAACTATAGAAAATTCACATATGTTAACAATATGGCAGCGCGATATTTGTTTGTTTTTCATATTATCAAGAACACTTTTTTTAGAGTAGATAGAACTTGTCAAGAGCTATAAAATTATGTAAAGTAATAGGGGATAATATGCTGTGTTCGACATGTCTTCAATATCACACTTACGAAAAACCATGAAAAAGTCATATATCATAATAGTGTGTCCGTGTGATATTCGTTTGTTCTCCATAGAGTGTCCGTTATTTTTATGCACTCGAAGAGTGAAGTTCACGATACATTGATTTTGATCAATCTGTCTAAAAAAATTCATCCTTGAGCGCACTAAGGAACTGCCCCTTAGGCCCTGCGGATGCCCTCCTTTTGTCCCGTAGGACGCGGCGAGGAGTTAGTTCCGGAGGTTTTATGCATTCGCATAAATAAAAACTTCTTTACTTTAGCAGAGTCGTGATTCTTTTTATAAACTCATGTTAATTATATCAAAGTGCGGTACAAACTGTTGAGGATTATTTCGAAAAGGTAAAAGAGCATCATAATGAATACCATTGTAGTAAACACAAAATCCTAGTTTATTCCTATCGGATTTGTATCCTGTATATTTTAGATGACCACCTGCTGACCCTTTATTAAATCGATCGATCAATTCCTGTAGACTAATGGTCGATGGAATATATTGTGTACGTTTTGGATCGCTAATAAACTTCGTATATGAATAGATAGAATGAGAGAGAGCCATAGAAAGCGCCTGAACTTGAACTTCTCCACCCCATTTTGTATTCGTAGCAGTTCGTATCAACTGTTCCTCAAATGAATACCACAATATTGTACAAAGTCTTTGGAAATAATCGCTATTATTCAGCATTGCATTGACTGCCCACAATCTCATCGAATGAGTTAGTTTTTCAGATCCTATATGCAATATAGAAAGAGAACTATATAAACAATTGCCATCTGCAGTCGTGCGAGTTCTAGCATAAACTGAATCGAACGCTTGAACAGGATATTCTGCTGATATTAACCGAACGGATTTGTCTCTATTATATATGGTTATAAATGGTAATTTTTTAATCAAGTCATTGATTATTTGAGTTTGACTTGAAATTTGATTAGAATCTGTAATATTATCAAACTCAAGTGCACAAAGAAAGTGATTTAGAATCTTTCTTAACTTTGAATCAATGATTTTGTAGTCTTCGGAAAAAGATTGTTCTTCAATTTCCATCATATCAGATGGATCATTCACTTTAAGATCTTCCAATTGAAAAGACATGTCTAAGTCAATTTGTTCGTTTTTATCGACTGTTTCATGATGATCGAAAGAGAATTCCTCGTCGACTTCCATCACGTCAGATTGATCATCAAGTATAGCATCATCGATATTGAAAAGTGTATTTGTATGAATGTCTTCGGTTTCATCAAAATGAAACTTAGTCAAAACTTCATGTTTTCTTATCCATATTGGTTTATGAAAACTTGTAAGACTTTCAAAATAATCAGACTTTAAGCCTTTCACATTAGTAAAGCAATAGTCAATCTGAGTTTTAGCATTAGTTGAGCTTTTATTTTATTTATTTATCAAATTAAATCCGAATGATTTCATATATTCAATAAATTTGTTATTGGTTTTGACTTTCAAATTTATATCAAAATCACCAACGACAATTAGGTCTTCACAAAATCGTTTTGAAATAGTTATAACTTCTTTCATATGTCGCTTTAAGACCGCAAATGATGAATTTGGTGAATTGTAAACGGAAATAATACAAATATCATCAATTTTTATTGAGGAATATTCAATATGGTTTTTGCCTGAATATTCATATTTTTCGGTGATATTTTCATATTTCAAATCATTTTTTAAATAAGTAATTTGACCGAATGGTTTTCGTATATCATTGCAATCACGTCTGTGAATTATTTTAAAACCTTCAATCTCCAATGAGTCACTAGGTTTTGTCCATGTTTCAACAAGACTTATCATGGAAGCAGATAAAAATGTTTTGTCAGATCTGACATCGAAAATATGTTTATTCAACGATTGTACATTATGAAACATCACGAAAAATCTTTCTTCTTGAGATTCTTCAGGAAATTCAAGTGAAAATTTGAGCATTCGTTCAGATCTCATATTTTTAAACATCATCGCTACTGCATCTTTAGGTTCAGGTGGTTTTGGTGGAACAAAATCGCCAATTAAATATAAACCAATTGATTTTGTTGCACGACTACAAGAGACATATAATTCAGATCTTGTCATCCCTTTCTTTAGATTGACAACGACTTTTTCATAAGTACCACCTTGACTTTTATATATAGTCATAGCTTCACAAGGAACTAAAGGAAACTGTTTACGTTCTACTTTGAAATTAGTTGATCTTGTATTTATTTGTCGTACTACTGGTTCAACTGGTGTGAGACTGAGATCAATATTTCTATTTCGCATTACGTTGTGAAAGTTAGCTCTAGCTTTTCTTCCAGTCTTTTCCTCACTAAATTTAATCCATAATCGACATGGTACTCTCTCATTTGTCTTTTGAAGTTTTCCATAATCAATCGCTATCAATTTTCCACAAGCACCATTTACTAATCCATCTTCAATATCAATATTCACTGTCATCATATACTTAGCGCCCACTTTCAAATCAATTTCAAGTGGTAAACCGTACGTTTCAGTTGTTTTCAGATTCTTTACATTATTTAGAACTTTTTCTCTTATTGATAGAAGTCCATCTCCAACACAATAATCATAAGCATTAGCGATTGCACCTTCGGTATTGAGCTTAGACAATACTATTCTATTATATGCATCAACTTCAGCATTACTTCTAAATATTCTTATTGCATCTCCAATGGTTTCTAAATTTTCAGTTGAAACAATTCGTGACTGTAACAGATGAATATCTTCAGCTGTCATCGTTCCTTTAGCTAAATTAGTTAATGCAATGGCAAAAGTTTTATCATCCTTTTGTCTCATTATTTCTGTCAATTCGAACAATTCAAATAATGACCATAATGAACTATCCACTAAAGCATTATATGAATTATTAAACTAGAATATGTATTTATCCCCAACTGGTCTTAATTGATTGAAATCACCTAAAACCATGACTGATATTCCACCAAATGGCTTTTTTGTTCTCATTATTTGCTGCAAACGTGCATCGATGTGTTGAAACATTGTAAAACCAACCATTGATATTTCGTCAATTATTAATAATTGCAAGTCTTTCAATTTCACTCCTATTCTATTCGAAATATCACTATTTAATTGAACGAGTTTATGTTTGCATTGATTAACTGGTAAACTTAAAAATGAATGTAAAGTCATTCCATCAATTAGTGCTACAGCTTTACCAGTTGGCGCACAGAGTGCAGTACGAATAGTTTCTGGATTACATCCAGGAAGAGAATTATAAAATCTCAGTACCGACTGATATATTGCTTTGATCAAAGTACTTTTCCCAACGCCTGCACCACCATTAATAAAATGAAAAAATTGCTTATCTCCATTTTTTATCAAATTCATCACATTCAATGTGTATCTTCTTTGATTATTATTGAGACTTCTCATCATTTGCTGATATTCTGTATCTGGTATTACTTTAGGAACATTAAAATTCTCAACTTTTTCAGTTTGGGTCTTTAGTCCAATTTCAACAAAGATATCGCCTTCATTGTTTTCTATTTCATAAATGAGGAATTCATTCTTATCTTGATCATATTCAATATTTGTATCCTCAATATCATTCTCATCTTCTCTTTCCATATGCTCTTCAAAAGCTTTCTCAAATTCACTGGCTTCACGATGAACATATTCAGATCTTTTCTGTTGAATTATATCTTTATGTAATTCAAATGTCTCTTCATGCTTTATAGAAAGAAGATCTTCTTCTTCATTACTCCATGGTAAAAATAGCATCAACTGCTCTCTGTAGTAGTTTTCAGGATCTTGGTGTAACTTAAAGTATCTATATCTTATTATTTTTTTCTTTGTTCTTTTTTTGATCCAACCTTTTCCATTTTTCATTCGGAAAGCAGCAAGTTTTTCATTATTTTCATTTTCAGTAGCATCCTCATCATCAGAATTTTCTGCAACTGGAGCATTATCTGTTTTTCTCTTTGACACATTATACAAGGAAGCAAAATCAGCCAAACAAACATCTTTCATTTCGTCTGGTTTATTAATGTATATGTCAATTAAACCTTCAACAAAAACATCTTTTGAATCAGGCTCCAGTTTCTGAAGAATTTCATCTGATTTTAGCATAGAAATTCTATTTTCGGGTCTATTTGTATTAATAAATACAGTACTCCTGCTACTGACAGAAAGTGGAATACTTAAAATATGATAAACAGCTTCTTGTGCTGAAATTTCACTTGAATTCAAAAACTTATTTGCAATAACTCTAAGACGTTCTTTGACTGTGTGATTGCCTTTTTTTAACTCGTTCAATGCTTCCCTTAGAAGCTTAGACATTCCATTTTCAGATTTGTTAATATATTCAACACAGTACTTTAAGCATGCATAAGGATCAAGAATATATTGAATGTCCATATTTGCTCTATGCAATGACATTATCATTGGATTGTATCCATTGATTCGGGTCTCATTTGAAGCACGTTTTAAGAATACTTTCGCCTTTTTCAATCCAGCTCGAATCATTTTAATATACTGTTCTTCATTCATATTAATTTTTGTCAAAAATTCTTCAAAAGTTAATGAAGTATCTTTATCTTTTGATATTCTGTCGAGCTCTTCTTTTACATTTTGTCTACTCTTACTTATCTCGTCACGTTCTTTTTTAGAGAGCTTTTCATCATTACTAAATGGTTCTAATATCATCGTTTTACTCATCGGAAAATATGAAATACCAAAACGACATATTATACAACCGTTTACATGTTGTTTACAAGTATGTGAGTGCTTATGACGTTGTAAACTAATAAGTTCTTCAGAAAATTCCGTTGGCTGAGAACTAACCGAAATCAATTTATCAATAAATTCTACACATCTTTCAATTGATTCAGGATTATTTTTGTCATATTTTGGAACATTCTTTAACCACAATAAAGCATGAACATGTGGTGAACCACGAACTTGAAATTCAGTTCTGACATATTTATCAACTAGTTCATATCCTTGAAATGGACCACAAGGAGCTGATAATATTTCCCATAAACATTTTAATTTATGTTCAAAATAGCGAACACATGTTACCGGATCTTGTCTTATCAATTCGCATCTCTTCTCGTAGCTCAAATTTAGTGCTTGCTCTAATGTTATTACTTTATTTTCTAACACTTTAGTCAATATGACAAGAAGTTCTGACTAGGGGTGGACCATTTTATTTAACGGGACTTAGTTAACGGGTGTTAATTAACGAAATCCGTTAACCGTTAATATTAACGTTAACGGATTCCGTTAACCGTTACTACTAAAATTAACGGGTTTCATTTAACCGTTAATTTACAGTTAATTAATGGATTAACGGGTGGATAATAATTATATATTATTTAATGGTGAATTTTCTCATGAGCAAATCGACGTTCATGTAATACCTGTTATAACAGTGAACTTTGAGGGGACTAGGGCCTCGTTTTTTTGAAGAAAAAAAATGTTGACAATGGTTCTTGAAATATAGTCTATTCAACTCAGTTTTTTGCGCTGATTCCAAATATATCATTAGTTTTAAACATTTACGTGATACATCACATCGAAATCAATAAAATACTTATCAAAAAGATAGGAAAATTACTATTTAAAAAATGAGAATTTAAGTAATACTGAGGAGTTTTTTAAACAATGCGATTTTGCATGATATCTAACGATACTATTATTTGTTAAATCTGCAGTAGACGTTGTATCTTAGCTTTTCAATACTGTCATATATGATCTAAGGAAATATATAAGACGACGTAGGTAAAAATTTAGATAATTATAAATATACGATTGAAAATAATAAAAAAAACATAATAAGTGAGCTGTTTAATTTGTCGAAAAGAGTAAGTGATTGTGACTTTTAAAAAGTGACAGATATTATATTATATAGACTGGAATTATTCTACGAAATAATAAATTAAAACAAATCTTCTTCCAGAAGTGCATCCCATTATTTTCTTTTGTGTCAAAATCTGAAACACATGTATTCTTATATATGTCACGTGGTTCTACAAATATAATAATCAGAATTGGCAGTCGAGAATGTATCTTAATAAAAACTACAAAGACATAAAATATCAGAGATGAGATCAAAATACAGTAAATAACATTCATATTGAATTGAAAAAAAAGTGAATATGTTAGTTCAAACGTTTTTGAGTGACACTTTCGCATTCAAATAAACATACTGTATTTAAGCTACAATCAAGATTAATTGGAATATTATCTTGATGATTACTGGATCTCGGATCAAATGCGTCAACAAATGTATTTAATTAACATTCATATTAAGAACAGTGGTTTAGATATTTTTGATTCTCTTAGCTATCCATGAGTAATATAGAACAATGACGTATGACTAAAAAATTGCGTTATTTTAGTCACCATACATTTGTATTGTTAAATTTATAGATGTTAGTATAAGCATATACGGAAACTTTATTTTTGGCTGCATTACTTCGTACAGTAGCTATCGGTACACGAATTGACTATATTTTCAACATTAGTAAAAAATACGAGAGAATAAATATTTGTCAAGAAATAAACATGATATTCATAGAGTAGAATATAAATTATCAATAAGTTCAATGTAATTGATCTGTGGCATTACAAATGTCGTAAATGTGCTTATTAACAGTTTTAATAGGAGTAATACATGTTTGTGATAATTATTAACTTACGCTTTGGTACTGTTATTGCCCTATAGTTATGTGAACTTGATGATTTCATTCATGGTTGTAATCTTATAATGGGGATTTTCTTTTATAAACATAAAGAAAATATGATGCTCATTAATATTTCATATTAGAAACTAATCAGATTGATATAATGCTTTTTTTACATTATTATATGCGATATATTTTACATCGTTTTTCTAGATTAAAATACAAAAATGAGTATAATTACTGATAAAATCAAAGTACCTTTAAAGAGAAGTTATAGCAGTTCTACAACAGCTGAGAAGGTTGTTTGAATTGGTTTTTAAGAATACATTGGCTTCAATATATGGACATATATAGATATTAGTCACGAAATAAACGTTTACATTGAGAACATTCATGTGATATTAAGGCAAAAGACAGTAGTTTGTATGAAACATTATTCTTTGGTTTGAAACGCTCGTAGAAATCATTAAAGATATTCTTCTTATATGAATTTCATCCATAGAAAAAATTTAAAATCTCATAAAACTAGTCTTTTACTCATTAAGAAGTAGTTTTTTTATTGAATTACTCGATATTGTCAAATTCAAGAATTTGAACTCTATTAAAGTCAGAAAAATAATTTCAAAATCTCAATTATCTAGCATATAACTCAATTATACAAGTGTCCTATTTATGAAATATTAAGTCTTTTTCGTTAATACTCAGACTTAATCCTGGTCAATGAAGAGAAAAACTGTTTTTAAATTCAACGACAACTGATACAAGTTTCAAGTCACATATTTCAATAGATGAGGTTGAGAATGGAACAAAAATAAAAAATACGTTTATTTTTTACTTACATGCATGAGATTCTTTTGATGTTGTTCCATTTTTTCGCCGAAGTACAAATTCAATTTTTTTCAATAGACATTGTTTTATGAACTTGAGCTCAGGTGATTGATTTGGGTCTGGTTTTATAAGAAAAAAACGTAAAGCATATGAAACTATAATAAAAAGAAATATTGCTGTAAATTTTTCAAAAATTGAGACTTTTTCTGTTCTCAACTATAGCTGCACTCAAAAAGAAATATTTCTTAAGATCTGTTTTTTATAGATATACAATTTTCAATTAAGCTCCTAATATTAGCAAAGAATCAAGTAATGTATGACAGTCATTATTTACTTAAGTGCCTATGCTTTTATGCAATTAATTCTTTCAAATCCGACACTTTCTCGTTAATACACAAAGATATAGCTAACCTGAATAAGCGACCGCTGATGTTGGATATTTTTTCCTAAAGTAACAGTTGTCGCACTAAAAAATGGACACAGTACAGAACAAAGATTTTTTATTTTACTCCAATCGCCATTGGTAAATTCAAACTTCTTTGAACCAAGTTTTAGTTGTTGATTATGACTAATGTCTGGAATTTTGAATGGTCTTCTGTTGATATCATCGATGATTGATTGATGACCTATAAATCGATGTAACATTGTAAAGGTTGTGTTCCATCGAATTTCTATATCAGTTACAACTTCAGATGTTATTTGTGGATCATGAATTCTTTCTTGCCGTTGAACATAATCAATAATAGCACGTGCAGAATTAATGTTGCTGATGCAATCACATATTCGATCAACCAATCGTCGAGTTTGTGCACGAATATTTTGTAAATCTATTAATTGATCATCATTATCATTTTGTTCTTCATTATCAGTGTTGTTATCTGATTCACAATCGTCTTCATCTTCATTAACATAATTACCGGTATCATACGACCCATCATCACTGCCAGATAAATGACCATTTGTTTGTGCATCTTCATCATACTCTTCATCTTCTAATTCATCAGGTATGTCAACATAATCAGAATCTGATGATAATTCATCGTCTTCGCGATTACGATTAACTACTTCACTTGTTGTGTGTAGTTGTTGAGTACTGAAATAAAAATAAAAATAATTTTTAATTGTATATTAATAACGTACTACTAGGAAAGACTTCTGACTGAATTGATCGACTAATAATCTTGTTAACTGTATTAGTTGTCTTCTCTGAAATGTCTAACCAATGTATTTTTCAATTCGATTCGATTTAGACAGTCGAATCATCGGATAATCAAATTAATATGAAAAATAAATCATTCTGCGACATATGTAGTGTTACGCTTTATATAACATGAACTAATATGATATATGTATATAATCTAGTGTGAGATTAGATTTTCACTTCAAGTCTTCGAGATTGATTGTGTATTTTTCGCAGATATATCACAAATATATTAGAACCAAACATCAGTTAGAGTAAATTAAACTAATCGTGAGAAACATTCAATCTTAAATTAGTTGTAATTCTAACTGTAGATGATTCCAGATAACAAAGATGAATTTAGATAAAAACTGCTATTGCATACTTCGAAAGAATATTTTAATGCTGAATAGGCAGTCAAACGTTTTGAACAAAATGAAAGTTGACTAGCGCGATTATTTATCTATCTATTAGTCACTAGTAACTACAAAGCTTCTACTACTATTACGCTATATTGTTTCTTGATCACTATCGGTGGTGCTATCTGAGTTGAAAGTTTTGAATGAAAACTTTTGATACAACCTTTTTGTTAGAATCAATGGATAATAATACATCTTTTCAATATTAGAAAATATTTTTTTCATAGATTTATATATTAAGGTCAACGTATATTTTGATGTCACATCAAACAAAATGCTGTAATTTAATCCTAGTTTATACATCAAAGTCATTTGAAAAATATATCTGAACTATTTAAATTACTGAAATATTTATGATATGAGAACTACAATAATTGAAAAAGTTATGTATAATTTTACCTTTTTTTTTTCTTTGCTTTGTCCCATAATCCTAAACCAACTTTCACTACTAAATTGAGTAGATGAGCTGTGCAAGAAAATCGTTTACCGGGCATTAATTCATTTAACGCCTTCTTGACATCACTGCCGTTGTCACCAACAATTGCACAAACTTTATCTTCAATATTTAAACGTTGAAATTCATAACGAATGTATTTTTTAGTATTTTCCGAAGTGTGTGACTTCTTAAATTGCCTAAAACCTAAGACAAGTGGAATAGTTTCATACTTATAATTAAATGCATGGCCAGTTAAACAAATAAATGATTTCTTTTTTTTCGTCCATATGTCTACCGTGACTGCAAGCCAAGGAATTGTATTAAGTATATTTTTCAGTTGTTGTCGGTGCTCATGGTATGAAATGCCTAAATGGCGCCGTACTGTCTTCCTTCCGAGCCCATGACTAAAACAGTAGTAATTAACACTAAATTCTAACAAATTTATTCCCTAGACTGAAAAGGATAGGGTCTAGAAGCGGGAGTTATCTTTTTACATGTATTGTTTTTGTCGGTAACATGGCACAAATGACCTTTTTTTTGGGCGCAAATAACCATGTAACTAAGGCATATTTCTTATAATATAATATTTCTTTGCTATTATCGTTTTATTTGAGTAGCATAATATTTAGTTTATTTGTTAGAAAGAGCGCGAACTTAAATGTTTAATTTATCCGTTGAAAAGGGCGCTAACTCAAATATTTGAATAGTAAAATATTTAATATAAAATATTTAATTTATTTGTTAAAAAAGGGCGCACACTTAAATATTTAAAATATTTCTTAATTATATATAGATCATTATTTTATTGAACAAACTAAAAGAATGTGGCAACGCTAATTTTACTTCGAATATGGATAAAGATGAAAATAATATTAATAACAAAAAAACGAAATGTTCTTATACACAGAGTATTATAATGCTTTGAAAAAAATGTTCGCCTATTTTTATATAGCATCTCGTTCATTATCATTGATAAATATTTCTAATGCATGTTTGAACAAAACAATGATGCGTCGAAACGTCTTGTACGACAACTCAATAAAATAAGATCCAGGATTAGAAGCTAAAAAACATACGCATTATAGTTTGATAGTTTTAAAAGTTTAGTTGTTGCATTATTGCAAAACATTTTTCAGAAGCTTGTCAGTTTAATAGTCTTGCTATAGTGCGTATAGATAGAAGAGTTCCAAATCAATTTTGATATACAATGATAAAGAAATCTGCACTGTAGTATTTTTTTGAAATCCTACTTTCTATAAAATGGAAGTTAATAAAGCTAAAGCGTTTTTAAACTTTATTCTGCATTCTACAAGTATGAAAATTTTAGAAATGCTTGATTTTATATAAGCTAGAAATTCAATTTGATTTTCTGCCGAACGTCAAAACTAATTTTGATTAACTCTCATTCGTATCTAAATATAGTTATATCAGCATGCAGACCGCGGCAGTCTAGGGCCAGGTGAATCGAGTTTCGATGAACGCTACTTGTTATTTAAAACACAAAATATAAAAATCAACGATTTTCTCGTAATCTTATCAACAGATATACTAATTACAAAACATAAATACTGAACTGAAACATTATTTTTAGTTCATTAGCAACCTGTATATGATTAGGAACAATCATGCTCAACAGGAGACATCTTCAAATAAATATTCATAATAATCTAAATAACTTACTATCCGAAACAAATTTTATTGAGAAATTTCAGCATACCACAACGCCTGAAGTCACCGAATGGACGACCGTCTGTTATAATACAGTCGATTGCGGCCTGGTCAAGTTCACGTTTCATTTCTGGTTTGATTGATTTTAAGTTTGACATAGCTTGAATACGTTGGGATGGAAATAATAAATGTTCCTTGTGATGCGCTCGCCCAAGATGACTGCGAAGATTTGCATCGCTGTAGTTGGAAATCTTGATGGGCTAAAAAGAAATAAATGAGACCGAATGAAGTAATGATTTCTTCAGAGTATCCTGATGACACTTTCTTCGTAAAATATTATGATAAAGGTGAAAGATTTTCTTGTGATTGTTTCGGAATCAGAGTTGTAAAATATTATATAAACTTGATTTACCAGATAATACTTTGTGAAACGAAAATTTTCTAATTGAAATAATCATGAATCATGTGGTAAATAACTGTTCTGATTCCTATTGTGAAACGTTTAGTAGAACTGTTAATGAATCGACTTGTTAGGAATGACGTTAGCGAAAAGTTATTATGAATAAATCAGAGTATCACTTCTACATATGTGGTGCATTAGAGTAGTAGGTACAAAAATTGCATATTATCGGACTAGATGGCACAATGCTAAAATTTCGTTTTTAATTCATATTTTAAAAAAATTGAAAAACATCTTCATTGCATCTATATAATTCAATTTTAAATTTTGAGTTGTGCATTATATTTGCTACTGTCTCGACTAATAGCAAGACTACACGAATTGAGCAAGCTAAAAATAAGACCATCGATAAATAGCACTTGTTTTATGTCTCACTTAACGAAGATTTTGAGTTATTATCGAATGTCCGTGACTTAATTGCAATTAGATCATTAATTTGAATCTGCATCTGACGAAGATATCGAGGAAATATGACAAGTTACTGAGGATAAAATATCAGTTGTATCCAATAAGTATGTCGAACAATTTTCGTGTTCGTGAAGAAAGAAAATTGATAATTTCTCTGCAGTAGTTCTCTAGTCAAATTCTATTGAAATATTCGCGACCTATAGTCGTTTGTATTTTATAAACAGTAAGTCTCTATCATCGAATCTATATACGAAGTTAGAAATAGATCAAAACATAAATGTTTTTTGTTTCAATTCTTCTCAATGAATGAATGAATTATTGATGCTTTTTATATTAAATAAACTGATGACAATTTAGTGACTAAATTGTTTACGATACAACATATCATCATTGGGCTCAATCAAATATTTCGAGTATGAAAATACGATATATTTCTATTATTTACTTGACAGTTAGGAATTTTTTCAGCTGTATGAGTACACTCTACATGAAATTTAATCGGTAAAGAAATTTTGGATAACTAGTATAGAATGTAACCTAAAGAAATCTAATGATAAGAGTTGAACTTTATACAGACAAAATTGCTGAGTTGAATATTAAATAAAGGTTCTATTAATGCAATGGAAATTACTAAAATAAATATATATCCGAGACTTAATCAACTTTGCATATAAACTTATAGCTGTACAATGAAAGTACAAGATGTTCATATCTAGTAGTGTAGAAGTTAATAAAGATTTATTAAATCAAAGAAATCTAATTCTTTCAAAAATTTTCAATACAATAATATCAATATAGAAAAATTTTTATAAGGATTTGTGACATTATAATATTTTATTAACACACATAATTCTAAGGTTTTTTTATGAGTGAAGTGCAATAACCATTTATATAGTAAAATTGTTGTATACAATACGTAATACAAATAATTAATATTAAAAAATGAATAAAGCTTAGGTTTCAACTTATACTTACTCTCGTGCATTTTTTGCATAAATAAGTATTTTCATCCACATATTGTAAATAATCCTTTACTGGTGGTAATTTGTTTTCTTGTCGTTCTAATTTTCTTGCAGCAGCTATAGCTTCCGGTTTATCATCAGAAAGTTCAATGTCAGTAGCATTATTGTCTGCGATAATCTCGTCGTCGTCACTTGCTGAACGTTGTGATCGTCTAGATGCAGTACGTGATGATGTTGAACGTTGTGATTGACTAGATGCAGCATATGATGGTGTTGAACGTTGTGATTGACTAGATGCAGCATATGATAGTGTTGAATGTTGTGGTTGACTCGATGCAACTTGTGATGTGATTGAACTTGTTCTGGAACTTGATGTATGAACACCAGCATCACGAGTAGCGTGTTTTGATCGAGCAAAACTATTTTTTTTTGTCACACCACCAGGTTGTGAATGATTACGACGTAAATTATAAGGACTGTGTATAGGTGAAGAAGTTGATGATGCATCATCATCGTGGTTTTTGTTCGCCCTGGATGCCATGAAATTTATAGATGATCTAAAAATAAAACTGATTCGTGTCAAAAACAATTATATTTAGTTCATGAGATATGTTTAATTAATTACGAATACTACTCATTTTCACCGTACAAAAATTCTTTACATTATCGTTTTCCACCTTTTTTTATACTCTGAAAATTGCGAAATGGTTGATTCATATATAAGTAAAAAATATCAAATTACGATTACACTCACTTATATAATAAGAATTATAATGTAGTATAACTAGTTTGTATCTAAAAAGAATTACACGAAGAGGTAAATATGATCTCTAGTAAATTAGATGTTAATTAGTTAATGGGACTACAAATTCGAAATAGTGCGTTGTTGAAATTTATCCAATCTTCTATTTACATTTCTTTACTGACATCTATATGCTTTTATTTTATTTTCCGAGTAGGAGAAAGGTCAAAAGGACACCTGAATTTAATTTTCGAAAAAGATATTTTCTGAGAAGAGAAGAGGTCAAAAGAACACCCAAAGTTAATTTTCGAAAAATATTCTTTCCACGAAAGGAAGAGGTGAAAAGGACACCCAAAGTCAATTTTCGGAAAATATATTTTCCACAAAGGGGAGAGGTCAAAAGAACACCCAAAGTCAATTTTCGAAGAAGACATTTCTGGAGGTTTTTCGATGCGGCGAGTTCGAATCTGAAGTCCATTGAGTGATTGTGACGAAGGGAATGGGTAGATGGGGGCAGGTGGGTGAGTGACAGGATAAAAACTTTGACGTCCCACCTACACCCACCCACTCCTAACCAAGGCCATCGATTAGACTTCGGGTTTGAACTCCTCGCATCAAAATATCTCTAAAAATATCTTTTTGAAAAATCGATTTTCGATGTTCTTTTGACCTTTCATCGATACCCATCTACCGCTAACCAAGGCCATCCAACAGACCTCAGATTTGAACTCCGCGTATCGAAAAACCTCGAGAAATGTCTTTTTGGAAAAATTAATGTCGATGTTCTTTTGACCTTTCACCCACCCTTACCACTCCCATTTACGATAGTCACCCAATACACCTCAGATTCGCACTCCTCGCATCAAAATACCTCTAGAAATCTCTTTTTCGAAGAATCAGTTTGGATTTTTTTGAGCTTGTAGACTTACAAGCAATTAAGCAATGGAACAAACAATTTGTTTATGTTGGACTCTTCTCTACGAGAAAGAGAATGGATTATAAACCCGTTAACCGTTAATCAACTGTAGATTAACGGTTAAATGCTACCCGTTAATTTTAATATTAACGGTTAACAGAACCCGTTAACGTTAATATTAACGTTAACGGGTTTCGTTAACCCTTAATCTCAAATTAACGTAAATGTACTACCCCTAGTTCTGACCACTGTGTTTCAGCAGCTGATAATGTTAAAAATATTGTTGCACATTCTAGTTGCCTATTCATGGCCATAAGTTCTTTCTTTTTTAGTTACCAGAATGCTAGTGAAGATCGATCAAATCTCAAGAATGCAAAGGCATCATCATTATGTACTAATCCATTTACATAATCTCGATTAAGCATTTGGTTAACAGTTACGTTTTTCGTATTTTTTGTTGTTCTCAAATTTATTGAAATAGCATCAACGAATTTTCTCGTTTGTAGTTTCTTTTATGTGAAAAAGAGTTTCGACACTCTACCACATCTTCTATCAAATATTCTTAATTCTGATTTAGCAATTTTAGCATACGTTAGTTTGACATTTTCTTTAATTTTTCGTTGTTTTCCACAATAGACTTTTGGAAATGTTAACTCATCGACTTTCAAATCCATTAGAACAGATATCGGTCTGTTATTCTCGCCTGGAGCAAATTTAATACCAGTATCATTTTGATGCTCGGTCTCATCATTCAACAACGTTTCAGTAGTTACTGGATTAATTGGTTTATCATCACTTTCATTCCAATTATCGTCATGATCGGAATCTTCTTCCGTATTTTCAGTTTCATTAAACTTTTTATCTTCGTTTTTGACTATGAAATTTTCTTTTTCATTGAGATACTCTTTAATCCAGTCATTAGATATAACAATACCTTCATCTTTATATAGTTCCTGTTCAACAAGGTATTTAACGGCTGTATGTACGACTTTTGGTTGAATTGTTTCATACATAAAAGCATTTTTATTTTTCATTTGTCCCATCAGTTTCAATTGAATCGTGTAAGTATCACTAAAACTTCCGGGTAATATTGAAACATTTGTGTCGACGGTCATGGGAACATTTACTAAATTACCTTTGAGACCAAATTGTTTAGAAAAGCCTAAAGTTCGAATTACCATAAAAGGAATTCGTGGTGATATCAATCTTTCTTCTAATTCAGTCAAGATTTTCAAGCAATCCGGTATTTCATAGAATGCTAAACCATTCGATAGAGCAAGGTTAGTTATTTTATTTGACATGATGTCCTTTCGACAAGTAGCACATAATTCGATAATTGCATGTTTTAGATAACAAACTGTATCGATAAATTCTTTTTTTAATCCTTTCTTTACTAACATTTCAACTGTATATTCTCTGATAGAATACGCAAACCATAAACCACCGCAACAACTACAAATATCGGTGGGTCCTTCTTTTATTTTTGACTCATAGTTTGATTTCATGGCATCGAAATTATTTTTATATTTATCTCTAGTATTATGCATTCTTAATGCATTTTCTCTTCTTTCTTCCTCTTTGTAATCTTCCTCTTCTCGTTTAACTCTAAGTGACTTCAATCGTCTTTCATTTTCCTGAGCTCTGAACTCTTCGTTTTGTCGTTCAATTTTAAGAGCTTCAGTTCTTCTTTTATTTTCTTCTGTTTTAAATTCATGATTTTTACGTTCACTTTTATGAGAATTTGCTCGTCGTCTATTGTTTAACAAGCGAAACTCATCATCAGTTCTCCTCTCTCTCATTCTTTTGGCCATCTCGACATTTCTTTGTGATACGGATCTTCTCTTTGTTTTTGGCATCTTTTTAACTAGTTCAAAAATCATAAGCTCAATAACAAATTCACTAATTGTTTTCTTGAATGATCGAGATGAATGAACTATTTATTTTGTCAAATAATCAAGATAAGTTTATGATTTACTCCTTTAAATGATCAAAATTAGTTTAATAATAGCTGTTCTTTCAAATAATCAAGGTTAGTTTACTATTTATTTTGCTAAATAATCAGGATTAATTTATGATTTATTCTTTTGAATGATCTGGATTAATTTAATAAGTGTCCCTTGAAATAATCAAGCTTAATATACTATTTATTTTGTTAAATAATCAAGATTAATTTATGATTTATTTACCTAAATGATCAAGATAGATCTACTAATTATTGTTTAAATTGATAGATCTCAATAGTAAATCCACTAATCTGTGTTACAATTAATAAAGGTAAGTAATTAGTTGCTGTTTATAGGCTTGCTTTCGTGATTTTACGTTTGAAGCAGGTGAATATTTTTCCAGCAATAAATACCGAAATAATATGAGATTAAATTAGACGCTAAAATCTTAAATAATCACAATTTTACATTCAGATCAAGTACGTATTTATATAATTATGATAGGTATGACTTGTAGTCCTTAGTGAGAAATGTGTATGTCTCTCAACTTGATGAAATACACAAATAATAAAGTTTCTTTCGAGATAAATCTTCCAGAAAACTTGGTGGAGATTTACTCGCTACTAAGTAAGAAACTTTACAAAATCGAAAGATTAGTAGCTAGTTAACAAAAAATTTAATAAATATTCTTATTATTTATTTAAACAAAAATATTTAAGTATTCTTCTTTTATTTATTTCAACAAAAAATTTGATTAATGTTCTTCTTATTGAATAGAACAAAAATATTTAATAATTATTGTTCTTCTTATTTAATTGGACAAACCAGGGTGTGGATGTGGGTGTGGGTGTGGGTGTGGGTGGGGTGTGGGTGTGGGTGTGGGTGTGGTTGTGGGTGTGGTTTCAATAAACAGCTCCCACACCCACACCCACACCGACACCACACCCACACCCACACCCACACCCACACCCACACCCACACCCAC